AGGATTAATCTGGGAGGTTTTTTCTTTTCCTTCTCTTCGGCCCATTTTACATGATCAGCTGATGTGAAAGAGGAATTGATTAGTCAAATTGTCTTTTATAAGTCATACTGTCTGTAGTAGTCCTTAAATGCATTATAAATTGCTGCGCTATATTTAAATGTATTGCTGGAAAAATCTAGTGGTGGCCAGGAGAGTACCTGGCAAACAGTCCACTAAAAGGTGGTGGTACATTTTAATTGGGTTACCCAAAAAAGCATCCATCTCTTTGCCGTCGGGGAAGGCCTGACCTATCCATCATTCTCACCCCGATGTAAGAAGTTATATCTGCCTCCATAGTGCCAACTGTCATATCAAACTTGACAGGAGGATTATACTTTGTGGTGTTTCTTTACTATTCAAAACTGACCATTATTCAGGGGGCAAAAATGGAAAATGTGAGTTGTGACATTGTGACTTGCTATGCCTTGCTGTTTAGGACAAACTTGTTCAAATTATTTCCTTGCCCTAGAAACCTGTTCTGAGACCTAATGGAATATAGAACTAAGGTTCTGCCAGCGCACATTTAAACTGACAACCAGAAAATTTGCTTGCTAGGAAAAGAACAAGCTGGCTTGCCATCTCAAGGTAGGGCTTAGCGTGAGAGTACTCATACCTGTGGATTGCCAGACTGCCCCAGATCCTGGAGAGGACTCACAGGACTCTCTCTACATAAAATAGCTTACTGAGAACTGAAAAACTTTGGATACTCTATACCAGCCTTAAAAATTCTGCACAGCCTACTTGCTTGAGAAGGGCTGTTTTTTGACAGATGAGGGAAATATTAGTTTTTTGTTATCATAGTAACAGATAAATTGATCTTTATCAAGAATTCTTAAAACTACAATACTCACCTGGGAAAGTGAGGAAACAGATTGACAGAGCGAGACGGGTACCCTGACGTCACCTACTACAGGACAAGTATCAGAGGGGTAGCCGTGTTAGTCTGTATCCACAAAAACAACAAGGAGTCCGGTGGAACCTCGTGGGTAAAAAACCCACTTATTCAGATGCATTGACAGGCCCACAAGGAAAATAACAGAACACCACTGGCTATCACGTACATCCCCCAGCTAAAACCTCTCCAGCACATCATCAACGATCTACAACCTATCCTGGAAAACGATCCCTCACTCTCACAGACCTTGGGAGGCAGGCCAGTCCTCGCTTACAGACAGCCCCCCAACCTGAAGCAAATGCTCACCAGCAACTACAGACCACACCACTGAAACACTAACCCAGGAACCAATCCCTGTAACAAACCCTGTTGCCTACTCTGTCCCGATATCTACTCTAGCAACACCATCAGAGGACCCAACCACATCAGCCACACCATCAGGGGCTCATTCACCTGCACATCTACTAATGTGATATATGCCATGATGTGCCAGCAATGCCCCTCTGCCACGTACATTGGCCAAACCGGACAGTCTCTACGTAAAAGAATAAATGGACACACATCAGACATCAGGAATGATAACATACAAAAGCCAGTAGGAGAACACTTCAATCTCTCTGGACGTTCAATAACAGATTTAAAAATAGCCATCCTTCAACAAAAAAACCACTTCTAAAACAGACTTCAAAGAGAAACTGCAGAGCTACAATTCATTTGCAAACTTAACACCATTAATTTGGGCTTGAATAGGGACTGGGAGTGGCTGGCTCACTACAAAAACAATTTCCCCCCCTCTTGGTGTTGATACCTCCTCATCAATTATTGGGAGTGGACCACATCCGCCCTGACTGAATTGGCCTTGTCAACACTGGTTCTCTACTTGTAAGGTAACTCCCTTCTCTTCATGTGCCAGTATATTTATGCCTGTATCTGCAATTTTCACTCCGTGCATCTGAAGAAGTGGGGGTTTTACCCATGAAAACTTATGCCCAAATAAATCTGTTAGTCTTTAAGGTGCTACCGGACTCCTCGTTGTTTTTGTAGATAAGTAGATCTTGTGTCTTGGCTGCTAAATTTGCATGACAGTTTGTTACTAATTCCAGAATAGTCCTCGAATTCATGCAGCGCCATCACTCTGTTTTAGTTGCCTGTAAATAGAATGGTCTTTTTTAAACAATACATTACCACTTGAAATGGAAGCTTTCTAGTTCTGAGATGTATAAACAATCTGAGATGCCATGTTTAGATGTATGTTATAGACCAGTGCACAGTTTATCTGTCAAATACCATTGCTTTCAGCATATATGTCAGCAGTAAAAGAGAAAATACAGGTTATACTAGTTATACCCTACTCTGTAGAAAACTCAAGAGAGTTTAGTAAACTGGGATGCTGAAACAAAACATATGTCATAGGAGAAGAAAACTGTATGAAATCCCTCTCAATACAGTACTTCGTGTTTCTTGGTGCTATTTTGTGTGTAGAACCAGGCACACGATCATATAGTCATGGATTTTGGGGGGGGACCACCTGTATGGGAGGCGCACACAACCCCTGGCAGGGGCAAGATTAGGGGGAGTTGCAGGGAGTCCCTGCAATAGAGGGGAATGGAAGGGTGGCCTACAGGAAATTGGAGGGATGGTGATGCAAGGAGCCCCTGGAGAGTACAGTGGGCTCGACCGACACAAGCTATGCATGTGCGACCTCTGTAGGTGCAGTTCAGATTTTCCAGTTTTGGCTACACCAGTGATACTCAGACCTCAGTGGTTCAGGAGCCAAATTAGCAACCAATATTACCTGAAAGAGCCATGGTAGTGTGAATTCATTGTTTCATTTACTATAGTGCTATTCATACTTAAACAGCATGACAGGAAATACTGAGTTTATATATATTTTCATATTCCTTCGCACAGCAAAGAAGTTAATAACAGTGCAAGTTGGTAACATAATTGGTTAATAACATAGTAAAAGCATCCTGATTGGTTAATAACTTTGGTTGTTAATTAAATGACACGGGGATTTAATATCATGTGCTGCAAGGAGCCACAGCAGACTCATTAAAGAGATACTCGCAGCTCACGAGCTGCAGTCTGGCTCATTGGGCTACACTTTTGAAAATAAGGGCACTTGTTTGGGTGCCTAAATATGTATGTAGGAGCCTATGGTTAATGACAAATGCCCTGTGAAGCCCAATCTTGGGCAGAGGCCTGGTCTGTTACATCTACACCTGACAGACTTCAGTATGTCTGTGAGACGTTGGCAGCACCTGTCTTGTCATGCTAATGAACTGAGCAGAGGTGCAACACAGATGATTTTAATGCACACTGTTGGTACTGAAGTGTTAGTTGCCTAGTGCCCATTGTCCCCTCACCAGGCGGGCAGAGCTGCCTTTCTCTTTTTTGCCTTAGTGCTCCATGCTGTCAGTGCTAGTCACATGTGACCATGACTCCAAACTGCTGGCATGTCTGTGGAGATCAAAGTGTGACTCCAGCATTAGCGAATGTTGTCGGAGGGAGCTGCATGGAATTCTTCCTCTCAGATAGAAGGAAAGAACCACACAGGGCATGTCTATGCAGCTGCTGGGAGCGAATCATGCTAGCACGCTCAAAAGAGCCATGTGGACGTTCCAGCTCGGGCTGGAGCTCAGGTTCTGAAGTTTAGGAAGGGGAGTGGGCTTCAGAGCTTGAGCTCCAGCCCAAGCCCAAATATCAAAGCAACTCTACGCAGTTATTTTTAGTGTGCTACCGTGAGCCCCACTAACACAAGTCTGTTGACCCAGGCTGCGAGACCTGCTCCCGGCAGTTGTGTAGACATACCCACACAGTGTGGAACATCACTGGAGAAAGGGCCAAATCCATGTTCATGCCTAGGTCCAATGGAACTGGCCTGTGGGACTAAATGGAAAGGGGATGTACTAGACATTCAGAGGGGTATGGATGGGAATGCTACACCTCCTCCACCCAATGTGCGGGTGACCCAGAGATCTAGTGAGGATGCTAAAGGTTCTGTGGCACATTATTAGAGTAGGTTTTTGCCCTTGTGTGCCTCCAAAGATTTCTGTGTAGGCTGGCTGTTGCCATCTACCCTGCGAATGGCTGCCCATCAGTGTTGTTCTCTGTAGATGGGACACAGTCTAAGGCCTGGTCCACACTACCCCCCCACTTCGGACTAAGGTATGCAAATTCAGCTACGTTAATAATGTAGCTGAATTCGAAGTACCTTAGTCCGAACTTACCGCGGGTCCAGACGCTGCAGGCAGGCTCCCCCGTCGATGCCGCGTACGCCTCTCGCTGAGCTGGAGTACCGGCGTCGACGGCGAGCACTTCCGGGATCGATTTATCGCGTCTAGACAAGACACGATAAATCGATCCCAGAACATCGATTGCCTGCCGTCGGACCCGGAGGTAAGTGTAGACGTACCCTAAGGTCTTGTCTACACTGGCACTTTACAGTGCTGCAACTTTCTCACTCAGGGGGGTGAAAAAACACCCCCCTGAGCGCTGCAAGTTTCAGCGCTGTAAAGTGCCAGTGTAGCCAATCCACCAGTGCTGGTAGCTATTCCCCTCATGGAGGTGGTTTTTTTAGAGCTATGCTGCAACTACACAAGCCAAGACAGCGCTTTAACATTGCCAGTGAAGACGTGCCCTTAGAAGTTCCTGTTGTTGGTGAAAGAGGGCAATGAAAGAGGGGATGAAAGAGGCAATATACAATATTGCATTAAATATGACTCTTCTTTCATTTACCTGCTGTGCCGCATGGTTACAGTCAAGCTCTTGTGATACGTAGCCCTACATCCAGTCTAGCCTAGAGCTGTACAGTGAAGTGTTGTAGTATCGTCTGATTATACCATCATAATGTCTGTGCCTGTTCCTTGTTTCTACTTATTAACCTATGTTCTTTGCAGCTCACCTCTCATTGCTATCTCTGCCGCCATTACTACAAGATCCTTTATTGTATTTAATATGAAGAAAACCTATAAAATAGCTGCAGATTCTTGCTGGTTCAGACTGCGGGAGTAGCAGAAATTAAGATTGTCATCTGAATTGTACTGTATTTTATTTTTTTCAGGCATGGGCCATGGAGAGAGCCAGTTAACCCTTACTATGTCAACACAGGGTATGCTCTGGCACCAGCCACCAGTGCGAATGACAGTGAGCAGCAGAGCATGTCTAGTGATGCAGACACCATGTCGCTGACAGACAGCAGTGTGTAAGTAACTTACCTGGGCAGGGGACTGAGCATGACATGGAGTAAAGGGGACATTGTGTATCTATTTCCTGGCCGCTGGAATTGACTGCAGATTTAATTTCTCAGATTCCAGGCTGTGGCTTTGGCTATGTAAAGAGGTCAGTGCCCTAGATGTTGGGATGAATCATTCTGGGGAGGAATATCTAACTGTTAAGTAGCTGACATGGGATATACCAGACATGTGACCAATCTAGCTCCATTGCATTCCTGTTACGGTTTCCTTTTTAGATGTATTGCTTTGTTGTTACCTGTGAGACATGGACTATTCTGGTCTGATGGACTGGGAATGTTTGTAATCTAAACCAAATAATGACCAGCAGGTGTTTCTGGTTTTAACAGCCAGCGACTGCAGGTGGGTTTGCGAAGTAAAAACAGAGATTAGCTTCTGGTAAGCTGCTCCCCTCATAGACTGAATCAAACAGGCTTCCAGCTACACTGTTTGCCAATTGTTTTATCTTCTGAAGGTTCCCAGGTTTATCGAAAACACAATCCTTTTAGACATCTGATTACCAAGATAATGGCACCGGAGTGTCACCCAGAGATCACTTTGTTGGAGTACAATTCAGGGAACTTCTTGGGCTTTTTGCCTGAAGCTTGGAGGGAATTCATTTATCTGTAATCATACCTTCCATGTTTAATTACACTCATTTACATTTTGGCTCTCGAGAGGGAGGAAGGATCATGCAAAAGCGGTTAGGGTACTAGCCTGGGACATGGGAAATCTGGGTTCCAGTCCCTGTTCCACCACAGACCTCCTGGGCAAGTCGCTTAGCTGCTCTGTGCCTCAGTTTCCCCATCTGTAAAATGGGGGTGATAGCCCTGCCCTCCCCCCCCGGAGGGTTGGGAGGATAGATACATTAAAGATTGTGAAGTGCTCATGTAGATACATAGCTGATACTTACTCCACACCCAGGCCATTTGAGTGATACTGGGTCATATTTATTCATGTGTTCTCATTCCAGTCACCAAAGTGTCAGTAGAAAATGACATTGTGTTACATGTTTCAGAGTCACAGCCGTGTTAGTCTGTATCCACAAAAAGAACAGGAGTACTTGTGGCACCTTAGAGACTAACAAATTTATTTGAGCATAAGCTTTCGTGGGCTACAGCCCACTTCATCGGATGCATAGAATGGAACATATAGTGAGGATATATATATACTGTACATACAAAGAACATGAAAAGGTAGGAGTTCCCCTACCAACTCTAAGAGGTTAGTTAATTAAGATGAGCTATTGTCAGCAGGAGAAAAAAAACTTTTGTAGTGATAATCAAGATAGCCCATTTAAGACAGTTTGACAAGAAGGTGTGAGGATACTTCTAGGTCACCGCAGAACTGTATCATGTTCGTGGGTTTGGAGGGGCAAAAGGAGAGGATATTCACACGCTGGATATTTCAAGAGCCTTACTTTTTATACTGATAAAACTAAGCTTTTCAGACTTTTGTTAACAAAACTGTGTAGTGTAGATGAGGCCTTAGAGAAAAGCATGTTAACAAGGGCTAAAAGTGTGTGGCAAATTGCAAATAAATCCTCTACTTTCAGATACACTTCTTAAATTGAGTGAAGTAGGGTAAGAGAGAGTAAGGAAGAGGGGGGATTAGAGATGAGTGGGTTTGTTGTCTGGTGCACTAGAAGAGGAATGTAATACAAAGGAATTCTGAAGTCCCTAACCCCCAATAAGGAAAACCTCTACCTTTCTTCTCTCCTAATAAGGAAAGTAAAAAAATCTTGTTCTAATAAAATGTGCTGAGTCTCCAACAGGAAACAATGGCTTTAAAAGCTGTGATTTGGCATACTGTGCAAAGGGAGGAGAGGGTAGAGCAGCCAGAATACTGGTTTAAGTTTTTGAAGTATCCTTTTCCATAAATGGCTTCTGGGATTCTGTCAATGGGAAAGTGTCTCCTGAATTGCTAGAGAGAAAAAATCTGAATAAACATGATGACTGAGAATACATAGATAAAGCTACAGACCATGCAAAACAACATGTGAGTGTAGGTTACAAAAGAGAACTGGTTGTACAGTAACAGACCGGGGGAAGGAACATTGGGCATGTGCAAGCTGTCATTCCAATCCATCATTCGAATGAAATGGAGGGACCCTGAAAGGTGTCTGTTGCAACAATCTTCTTACCAAATGCCTGACACTGTTCAGAGGATGGGTGGAAGGTGGTGAATTGGAGGACTGAGACCTTTATGTCTTATGAAAGCTGCTTTGGTGAGTGGAATGTCAGACAGATATCAGTATGGCCAAGTCAGCTCAAGGAGACGAAGCGTTCAACTTTACATTAATTCCAGATGACTAAGACTGAATGAAAGCTGAGTGGCGAGGTAACTTGGGTCCTAGTGTTGAGTGTAATCTTTCAGTACACAAAACAGAGAGGAGAAATGCACAAATAAAGAGAATTCCAGGCTGGGAAACATGAGTGTTTCTTCACTAGCGTCGGCTCAGTGGACAAATCTGCATGGACGGCCTAAGGGACTGGGAGCAAATAGATGTGCATTCTTACAGGACTGACCGCTTGAGCAGTCCAATCATAACTGTGGGATCTCATGACAGTGACTGAAAGGAAACCTGTATCTAAGCAAGTGCCTCCACATGCAGGTGTCTGATGCACGGACTGCCTGAAGGGTCAATTTCTGGCAAGGAGAATGAGTTAGCCTTCCAGTCCATTGTGGGGAGGACTGTACCTTGTGTCCCTGAGTTATATGTATAGATTTTAAGTCCAGACATTATGATCATTCTGTCTGACTTCCTGCATCCCACAGGCCAGAGAACTGCACCCAGCAGTTCCTGCATCAAGCCTGTCATTCACGGTTGAGCTAGAGCAGATTTTTTAGAAGAAGACATCCCATGTTGATTTAAAGTCTCCAGGTGAAGGAGAATCCACCATGTTCATAGGTAAAACTTGCAGGGCTCATTCCAATCCCCCGTTTTCCTCACTTGTAAAACCCCTGGAAGAAATTGTTCAAAACCACAGACTTCTATTTTCTGAGTGGTTAAAGTGAACTTGGAAACCATCAGTGTTTTAAAGAGCTTTCAATTTTTTTCTCCAAATGTGTATTACCATGCACTTGTTTATGTTAAATATCAATTGCCATTATATTACCTCATCACCTAGCTTCACCTCTGAGAGGAGATTCTCATTTAGCAGTGTCCATTCGGCCTGCCCTGTGCCTTCTCAGGTTGGAGACCAAGGCTATATAGGGATATTGAGGTGAACCACCCTCTGTTCCTTCTCAACTGCCACAGCCTGAGACAGAGCCGTAGCGTAGCCACCTTTGAGGAGGCCTCGGCTTTCTATTTTTCTATAGTTGTTAAGATCAGTTAGTATAGTTAGTTGTTAGTATAATTATAGTCACTTTTCTCCTCTCTCCCCACTCTGGGAGACTTACTTTTCCTGGCAGGGCATGCCTGGCTACCCAGGTTTCAAACTCTGCCTCTCCTGCCGAGCAGCTGTCCCTGTGAGCGATGGCCACTCTGTGTATCCGTTGGTTGGGAGAGTCTAACTCAGGGATTCTCAAACTGGGGGTCAGGACCCCTCAGGGGGTCGCGAGGTTATTACATGGGGGGTCGCGAGCTGTCAACCTCCACCCCAAATCCCGATTTGCCTCTAGCATTTATAATGGTGTTAAATGTATAAAAAAGTGTGTTTAATTTATTAGGGGAGGTCGCACTCAGAGCTTGCGATGTGAAAGGGGTCACCAGTAAAAAAAGTTTGAGAACCACTAGTCTAACTCCCGGCAGGATGTGGATGTGGTAAGTGGGAGGGGTAGACAGCACTGTGCTGTCCACCCCTTGGACAAAGACCAGAAAAGATGATCTCTTTGGACGAAAGTCCTCTTCATCAGAAACTCTGCAATATCAGGCGCTCATGGCCAAATACGATTTTACGAATGGTAACAGATTCACGGCCTTTATTGAACATCTGCTATAGGAGCATAGGGAGCAATTCCAGTCCATCACCTCTGAGTGCCAAGCCAGAACTGCTCTTCAAGGCTGTGGATGTTGTTGCCAGGTCCATTTCCATGGCGGTGGTTATGCGCAGGGCATCATGACTTCAACTTTTGGTTGAAGTACAGAACATTGTTGAGGACCTCCCTTTCGATGGTTGTAAGCTTTTCTTGCAGGTCACGGATGAGTTCTTGCACACTGAAGGATTCTAGGGCTACTTTACAATTCCTGGGCATAGCTACACCTATAAATAAGAAAATGTTTAGTAGGTCACAGACTGCCCAGAGATCACATCCTGCTCACTTTTCTGGATTCCATAGACACTCTGAAACCCCCCCCGCCCCCCCGGAAATACATAGATTTCAGAGAAAGAGGGCCACCCAGCTGCCCTTCACAAGCACAAGCATCTAGCCATCTTTGAAGCAAATTTTGATGGGTTGGTCAAGGGTTCAAATCCTCCCACACCCCTGGCTTTACAGCTGCACCCATTGGCCCACCTCCCCACCTTTGGAGACCACCTTTCCCATTTCCAACATGCTTGGAGGCAGATCACTACAGACAAGCGGGTCATATAGATCACAACATCGGGCTATACTATCAGTTTTATATCACTCCTTCCCTTCTACCCCCATTCCCTGTCCTTATTCAGGGACCCCTCTCACAAGCTTTCACTTAGACAAGAAGTGAACTCTCCTTTAGGAGCAATAGAATCGGTCCTTCCTCCTAATACCGGCATGAGGTTTTACTCCAAGTATTTCCTTGTGCCAGAAAAGAACAGAGGGTGGAAACTGATCTTAGATCTAAGACTTCTAAAAAAGTTTGTAAAGTCTCAGAAGTTCAGGATAGTGACTCTAGCAGACATAATTGCTTCACTGGAGAAAGAGGAATGGTTTTCGGCCCTTGATCTACAAGATGCCTATTTCCAATATAATGATACACCCATTGCACTGGAAATTCCTATGCTTCACTATAGGCCAGGATTATTTCCAGTTCCAATTGCTTCCCTTT